GTACATGCCTAGATCCAAAAGACAACACGAACGAAAGTAAAACAGGTATATGCAATAAAGGGAAAGTCAGAACAAATATAAGTACACCAATGAAAAACAACTGCCAAAATTTGATTGAAAAGAGTAAGCTAGAACCTATGACTTCCCATGCGTAAGTCACGGTGTTTTGACATAATCGCAATTGTTTTCTTTTTTACGAAAGCATGCACAGCGTCTGTGCGGCCATTGCGGTCAGTGCGGTCAGCTGCAGTCTGCTGCAGTCTGCAGCGGTCAGTGCAGTCAGCTGCAGACTGCTGCAGTCACTGCGGTAGTATGAAACAACCCTTATGCTGGTTGTGGCTTGACAAGATGGAAAATGGCTCGCTTCTTCTTGACGTTTTGCCAAGTCCACTGTCAAGCTTTTTGAGCATCTCCATTCGTAAAAAGCAGAGCGTAAAATGTCTTTATCCGAGCTTTTGGAAGGAGAATAGCTTTGGGAAGGAAGCAATCTAGTAGTAACTAGAATGGGTACGGGTATCAAACGTGATTTTTTTTGGAGTGAGCGGAAGTTTCATTAACACTTTCGGGCCGCAAATCGCGCGCGGCGAAAAAGAGGGTACTTTCAGCCATTAGCTAACAAAGAAGCCTTAATTTATAGAATATGAGCTACATCCGTAATCAGTTTGTCATATAATATCCATACCCAAAGTTCTGAGTGAATTCGAAGTGTTTGAATCTTATCCCTGAGAAGAACTTGTGTGCTTTCCTGAAAGATAGGAACAAAAACTCAGTTTCTGATTCTATCCAAAAGTATATATGTTGTATACAGTACACATCATTACTGAAACCATGGTTTTTCTCTTTGAAATAAGAGCAAAGAAAAGTTGCGACGTCGCATGCGTCGTTCGCGCTGCCGCACTTCATGCAATGGTTGTTCGATTTGTCCTCATATCTTCTGACTAAATATCGTCAGCACTGCTCATTTGAAAAGGAGGAGCTTAGCCTTTATTTGATAACTTTAAAACCGTTGAAGAAGCAGCGCTCGAGTCGAACCTCGTATGAGCCTCTCCGAAGCGAATAATTTGATATTTGTTATGACACTCTTGCGACTTCCACTCCCGAACATTCGTATCCGATTTCGAGTGACGTCGTATGCTAATCGCATGATTCTTCATTAAACAGTGCAGAGCTTGACGTTGTTTTGTACGCACATCGAATATTCCATTCAAATGTCGCGCTACTCTTCCTTTCGAAATCACAGATAAAGATGAGTTGAAATGAAAAGAAATGTTCCACAGAATCCCCATTTGGGAAAGACCCAAAAAATAGGCGCATTTTTTGTTTGCATAAACTTTCCAGATAGGAAAGATTGACAGCAAACGAAGCCGGTCACTTGACACTTTCGCATTTTCTTTTCGTGGGCAAAAAATTAAATAAAAATTACTGGAACGTTCTACCGCCATAAGCCTGGCACATTTTTTTCTCACGGTTTTCGCCCAAGAGAGGCACACACAATAGAGCTATTAGCTTTCAGATGAGTGCACCTTCCCATTTCACTTTTAGCAAGCAACGCTGCACTACGCATTTGTAGCAAAAAATAGGCCTTGCAGAGAGCCTTTTAAGGTTAAATTACTTTAGGATTACAAAGATAGTAACTTGAGGAAAGCTTTTTCGAGTTAAAAAAACATGAATCTAAAGAGCGAAAGTTGTTTGCAGTTTCCCTACCATTTGAATCGAAGAAAATACATTTAAGGCACACATTTATATTGACAATGGACGGTTTTTTATCGATAGACAAATATTATGCTATTGTGGTCAGCAATCTCAAATGCTAACTTTGTCTTGCGTTATGTTCCTATTATTTGATATCGTATATATTAGGTCGTTCCGAAAGTTCTTTCCGTTTTTTCAACCTATCATAAAAACACATGGAATGAAGGTAGAGAAACGCTTCAAAAGCTATCCGGCGCAGCTTTTCTTCCTCTTTTCAAAAGTCATATTCCTCCGTCGCTCGCTCTTGTGGTCAGTGAGATAATGGCCGAAATTTCGGACCTATGGTTTTTACCATGTCCAACTTTGGCAATTTTTCACTATCTCCTTCTTTGACTTTTGGAAAAGCTTTAATAGCAGTCGGATAGAGTAAACAAAGTGCAATGCAATGCAATTTTTTGGCAATTTCAGCTGGCTTCTCATTATTTTTTTCAAATAACTTTTTCAGAACTCTTCACTTTTCCGAAGTCACAAAACACACAAACGCTCTGAACATCAACAAATCTTCGGTTTTCGAAACTTTCAAAAGTCGTTTATGATTGTGCACTATTTTTACAATATAACTGAGTATTTATCGCTTTGAATTATAAGATTTCGCATTTCACATGTACACCTTTAGGCGGGTTCAAAATCAAGAATTATGGAAATTTTATCGCCAGAGACCCCACAAACTATGAAGAAAAAGCACTCATCAGAAAGAGGAGAAAAAGCTGCATCCAATGACACCTTAGTTGTGCGCCGTTTTATATTCTATGGCTTTTGGCATTCCCAAAAGTGGAATTTGATAGCTTCAGAAAAATAATTCTAAAAATGTTTTGAGGCTAGCTATAGATGCCAAAAAATTGCATTGCATTGCACTTTGTTTACTCTATCCGACTGCTATCAAAGCTTTTCCAAAAGTCAAAAAAGAAGATAGTGAAAAGTTGCCAAAATTGGACATGGTAAGAACCACGGGTTCGAAATTTCGGCCATTATCTCACTGAGCACAAGAGCGAGCGACGGAGGAATATGACTGTTGAAAAGAGGAAGAAAAATTGCGTCGGATAGCGCTTGAAGCGTTTCTATACCTTCATCCCATGTGTTTTTATGATAGGTTGAAAAAACGGAAAGAACTTTCGGAACGACCTAATATATTAGGTTGGAAACTAAGTTTTCCAACTGGTCTCATAAATTCCCTCTCACTCAACATGGCGCACTCAAATTTTTCCACTGCGTTGGTTATTACGTAAGCTACAAGCGCAGCTGCTGTCCTACCAAATTCTGACGTCGCAGTGAGGGTTACGGTAGGTGTATGGTATGAAGGGGAAAAATTCAAAGTTTGACGGATTTGGCTGAAACTTGGCATAGGGATGTTATCCGACATGCTGATCACGAAAACGATAGTGAAATAGCGTGATAAGGGCTTTTTTCATAGGATTACTGTAGGTGTACGATATGGGGTCTCACCCTAAACAAGGAAAAAGGCGTTGACTCAACAAATGAATGTGATATTCGCGTCTGGCAGGTAAATAACCTTACTATAGAAAGTCTCAGCGGAATTTGAGCTTCGAACTCTTTAGTCATTGACGGTCGTCCCCAGCGGCTCTTGCGTACATCGACTCGTTCGAATTTATGAGGACGCCAAATCTCGACATGCCCCTATATTTTGTTCCTTTCTTAATAGGCCAAAGGAGTCAACCTCCAGCAATAAATTATAGACGAATCCGGATTACAGCGCATGGTCCAGGCTGCCAAAGGCTTCATTTTAGCTTGAAACCCCAGAAACTCTCAAATTTCACTGGTTTTCGAAAAACGCTTGAAACTTTTCTATTTCGTGTTCAAAATGTAAACAATTTGTGCTCACTTGTAGCTCACATTGCATTCTACATGATGCCAAAGTTTGAGTGCGCCATATACAAAGAGAGTGAAGTTATGAAACCAGTTGCAAAACTTAGTTTCCAGCCCAATATATAGTTGGATGTCTGTTTGTCTGTCTGTCTGTACGTCTGCCTGTATGTTTGTAAGTATGTTCCGAATAGAAAATTCCATTTCTGAACCGATCCAGGCCACACTTTGCCCACATACACTTCGGGGCCGGGCGGGTGTCATAGGCCACTTTTCGTCATCGATCGACATCGATTTTATCGATTTTTATCGATTTTTTGTGAAGTTTGATTTACGGGACTGGGAGTTGGCACAGGGAGTAATCTAGCATGCTGATTACGAATACGATCGATTTTATAGATTTTCTTGCAAAATTCGAGCTAAGGGGCTGGGAGTTGGTACTGGGGGGTAACTGAGCATGTTGATTGCGAATGTAGTAACTGTTTGTGAGAATATCCAGCACTTTATTTTTTTTAAAACCTTGGACTAGAAGGGTGTGACTAAAAGGGTGTAAGTTGCTATTTGGTTACGCTGATTCAAACATGGTAATCTTTATTTCTCGTCCTTGATCCTGCATCAAAATATTTCTCCTGTCATCTGGGACTGGATGTTGGTAAGGGATAAGCAACTGCGCTGATTACAAAACAGCCTCCCTAATATAAATCGAGTGCTAATGCCACGGTTAATCGTATCGAAAGAGTACACTGATTATTTCTATAAAATCACAACATTTCAATTTTTGGCGAGGTTTAAACTATTCTGAAAAATGTTTTATCAAAGAAACACTCTTTTAGGTCTCGGGTTCTGATAGAGCTAGAATAGATTGTTGAGATTTTGCATGCACACATTCTATATGTGTGTAAACATACCACAAATACTTCCAGAAAAAACCATTCTTCTAGGGATTTTCTAAATTTATTGGGAAGAAATGATGGCGTCGTCATTTCCCGCTACATTTCTGGTATGATTATTTAGCTCATAGATTCTTCTTGCTACAATGGAAATTTGGAGCCGAACGCCTCACCCCTAAAAATTCCTCTCAGTGGGATCAAAATCAGCCAGCAAATTACGCGTGATTGCCAGGTGCAGTCACAAAAACCGGGCGTGCAGTTAAAAATCTGAAAACTCTCTGAAAAATAATGATGTTTTCCTGGATGTCACACTCTGAAGTTTCGGCGGTCAAGAGGATTAGGAAAGGGTCGTTTGAGGACTTTATTGGAGGGGGAGGGAGTGTTTTGAAAGACTTGTGCCTGACCTATTGCTCAACTGCTTACGATAACGTATCACATGATATTTTGCATGTGTTCAAGATAATACCATGCTTTTGACTAGTAAAATCAAGACTTTTACACACATTGTAACCATGTAAAATCTTTATTGTGTCTTGCACAAGTTAACGTTTCTTAAATCGCTTTTATGAAGTCATCAATCTCTTAAAAAGCGCTTTTTGCTCTGGTGGCAGTGATTTGATGTCTTGCCGTATTTTCGCTGCCTCTTGGTCTGTCAGCGTCGGCTTGCACCTCTTGAAACACGTGACTGATTTTTTGGTCATGTCGAGTTTTTTCTCCTGAGAATAATCACGTAAGGCAAAAATTATTGAAATTTAAACTGTGCAAATAATTGCAACACATTTAATTCTCAAAAGAGCATTTTTAGAGGATAAGAACTGCTTTGCTTTCTTCCTCCACAATCTCAGCTTCGTGTAATTTTACGAAAGAATAAGCCGAGGTTACCTTGCCCTTTCAAGGACGTGATGAAAATAGCTGTCTTGAAAAGTTGACTGCAAATCTACGCTCGCTATCTGCAAAGCATTTTTCAGTTATGTACGTTTTTCCAAAGTTGCGAATGACAAAGTTGCGTTGTTGCAGAGAGTTAGGATAAGCAATGCAATATTTTCTTCTCTTTCGTTCTTTATGTCTGAATTATTAGTCTAGATATGATGGCGGATCACCAATGATGTTGCCTCGTAGCATAAAATCCGCAACTGACCAAAATGCGTTTCTGGTACCGAAAATCATTTATAACTTTTTTTTTCAGAAAAAGTCCTTGCAGTTAGCGAACGCAGATTTGAGACTCCGGCAGACTCTAGTGATATGCGGCGCACTCTTTTGCTCTCTGGCGAACTCTACTATAGTGCGACGCACTCTGCTGCACGCCGGCGCTCTGCAGCGCGCTTCAGCAACTTTTTCGACGAATTATGAGCGGTATGCACAATGCTGACGGCCTGCGAAAATGCACAAATCTAAGGCTACAGTTGCCAGTGTTCATCTGAAAAGTATTGGAAATAGATGTGGTGCCAAACTCCATAATTTGCTCTTCTCTTTGCATAACTAATGCAGCTTTGTATTTCAAGAAAAGTTAAAAGTAGACATATGAATAAAATGATGCTCACCTTATTCAGTTCTATATTGCACGTTGCGAAGCACGCCTCATAAGCCGTCGGGTCGCTGATTCCCACTGTGGCCGGAACGATGGCGAAGAACAGAAAGGGAAAAATGAAAGCAAGGTTCATTTTTTGTGGAATGACATAAGCGTGAGCTTATTTTATACCATTCAAACAAAACAATCAATGTATTTTGCATATAGCCTAAATTATAGCGAATCTTGTTGGTACGGCATACATGCCATTTCTTACGACACAAATTTCCGTTCAACTATCAATAAAAAGAATTTCGGGCCGAAAGATCTTTCGAAATTTGGTCCATTTTTTTCTGAAATAAGGGGAATGGGAGGGAATAGTACACGTTTTGCACTTCTTTTATTAGTGAGATGTACTTTCATGAAATCGGTTCGGAACCATATTTGACTAATAGAGCAGGCATTTAATTTTCCTTTATTCATGAAGGCGTTATTTTTCAAAAAAGCGTGATATGAACTGCACAGATTGATAAAGACCATGTTTTGTATGTACTTAAACGCGATTTACTTAAAGGTGGCTATCGCTGTAATGTTTATTTTAACCTCTGTATTTAATCAACAGCTCTGCATCTTGCAAAACATAAAAATTTTATTTTGTTTGTTTATCCGATACTTTGATACGTTTCGAAAACAAAGGATTATGCGCTTTGTATTGGAGCTTAAAGTTGAAATCATGGTTTATGGCGATGACAAAAGCTGATAGAAGCAAAACAAATTCTGGTTTTTGGTTCGATCGTTGAAAACGCCAAACTGCCCAATCAAATCCAGTTTCATTTTCGGTCTTGGTTTCATGGCTCATCCTTCGTAAAAATATGAAATTGGGAATTTCGATGATTGTCTGTACAAGACACTTTGGAATTCAAATTTTTTTATCAACTTTGAAATTTTGTCTTAAATGTCTTTCTAATACGTACTACAAAATACTACATTTACAACATCAAAAATAGGACATAATATGCAGAGTGCGGAAAAAGTACTGACCAAAATAAATGTAGAAAAAGACCTGATTCCGGTTTTTGGTACAAAAGCTAGTTCAGTGGCCGTATTCATCAACGAACCCTGAGGGTTAAGCTTACTCTCCAGGGTTAGTTTAACCCTCAAGGTTCACTGGCCGTATTCATCAACCATAGGCTAGGGTTAACCATGGAACGCGATCTACCCGTATCGATCAACGAACCTGCGGCCGTATTCATCAACCCTGAGGGTTAAACTAACCCTGGAGGGTTAAGGCGTCAGTTACGCGTGCGCTGGGCAAGCTCACATCACAGAATGCCTAAATACGGGCTAAATTCACTATATACTTCTATTCTTTCACTGTTATAGTAGTGTAGTCAACGAATAAGCTTCTAACACTAGTTTTTATAATACATCTCTAGCATACTTGTGCAGCATCCAATCTTACAGCGTGAGTTTATTTTCATGTGTGCAGTTGTGCAGTGTAAGTTCTACTTTTGCGCAGTTCGTTTTATACCGGGTTTGTGCTACTCTTTTAGGGATCAATGCGTGTTATTATAAAGGGGTTCTTCTGTTTTGGCACTTGTCTTGTCAGTGGAATGCCATTTTTCCTCGTCGCATTCATTTGTCACCAAAGCTAAAATTCTTTTTTTCGCGAAGTCAGTGTTTCATGTACTTCAAATGAACATAAAACGAAGTCGAAACTAAATACTATCAACAACCAATACTAAATATTACAATACTCGTTGATCGTTTTCCATAAACTATTAGATGCGAGTGAATGTTTGTATGGAGTGTTAGGGTAGAGTTAACCTTGGTCTGAGCTAGGGTTAAACTAACCCTGATGAATCACGTAAGTTTAACCCTCCAGGGTTAGTTTAACCCTCACGGTTCGTTGATGAATACGGGTTAGTCGCTTTCGGGGTAAAATTAACCCTTAAGGCTAGATTTAACCCTCAGGGTCAAGCCTACCCTGTGTTTCATGAATACGGGTTAAACGCTTTCCAGGGTTTAACCCTCGGGGATCGTTGATGAATACGGCCACAGGATTTAGACAGTTTAATAGGCTTTTTAGAGACACAGTAATTCAGACATAGCAATGCAAATTCCTGATCAAATCCTATGCGCAATAGGCAAGCATCCAGCATTTCTATGTCAAGTGTTGGCTGCTTTGACTTCATGCTCAGTGTTGAAGCACCACATGTACTGCAAATTGCGCTTATTTCATAAATCCTTTTGGTGCTACCATTCATTGTCTGACGCAGATTTGTATTAGATTGTCCGAAAATTGATGTCCGTTTTAAATTTGGACCGCACTGAATTAGTTGCAAAATATTCGATAGTGCAAAGCAAGCTCTACAAGAAGGCAACCTTTGCAAGCTCTCATCCACTTCAGGCTTCAAGCCAAAAACTAAAAAGATTTAACTGCCCGAGAAATCGAGAAAATCCGCAATGTAGTTCATAAGAAAAAAGAGTAGATACATACTACAAACCTATAGAAGGACAAACATAAACTTTCGGTTCCTTATAAGCTTTAGTTCTCAAGAATCTTAAGTTTTAGCTTGAATCACCTGATTCGAGAAAAGCTATATTAGGCAATTTTTGAGAATTAAAGCTTGTAAAAAGTTGAAAATTTATGTATGTAGTTCTACACGATTGAAGTATACATCTAATTATGTGAGGACAGCACAGCATCACTTTGGCAATTTTTAACCAAGGAAAACTACGGCACGTATATAGATGTTATTTTCAAATAGTGATTACTTAAGCAAGTTAAAATTTTTGTAGGATTCTTATGGAATGAATTGCGATATTCCTCGTTTTTCAAAAAAAAGAAATGTTGTAAACTTTTTTCAGCTAAAAATCTTCTTGGTTATTGGCTTAACTCGAAGAGATCAGAGCTTGCTACAAGATCGCCCCTTTGTAGATTTGCCTTGCTTTATCTCGAATGGTATTCTGCAACCTCTCAAGGAGAAGTATATGACTTTTTGCCGTTGAAATTCAAAGTGGACATTGGTCGGACAGCCTAATAGTATGTAGAGAACAAAAATTTAAAAATGCCTTCAGACATATTGCGTAGCCAAAACAGACTAACACAAAATGTAGATCGCTTACATTTCTAGCGTCTATGTTGCAACATCTGTGCTGCCACATGTAGGGACCTATAGGTACGCATTAAAGGGGTCGAAAAATGGGGATCTACTCTTGACCATTGCTGATACATATAACACTGCTGTAGTATTAGTACGGTAACATTGAGAGAAATCTTGATTGAGCATGGATCCCATGTAGTGGTTTGTTTTACTTGAGAGCAGTGTCCAGGCAAGTTCGAGGGTATTTGGTTTTCAGTGCTATATAAAAGCCGACGCTCTCGAACATGCCATTGCAAAGAGCGAATCCTCAGCGTCAGAACTAACGAAACATTGCTTTGGAAGCTGGGATAAACTCTAAAAAGGACGACGCATCGCCCGCGTGTGGATTTCTATGGCCGAATAGGCATCTTGCGCTTAATTTTAAAGGGTTCCACAGACACTGCGTCTCAGCCAGGTCGTTTCACCCAACCAAATTCAAAAAATGAGCTTTGGGGGATGTCTGTCTTCGCCGTTCTTGCACTTCTCGGGTTGAGCGAGCATGCCCAAGTAAACAAAGAAATCTTGGAATTGAGTTTTTGCCTGGGCTCTTCCTTCAAGTGCGGTTATTCCGATCTTGCCCTCACATCTAAACAGATATTTATGCATTTTTTGACTTTCTACCTCTTCTCGCGCTCTGCAAAGAGGCACAAAAAATATTTTGGTTCACTAAGAAAAAATTTTGTTGACTGTGAAAAGGAATGGCTAGTTTTATCCAATGATGCTCACAAACATTTCAAATATACTAATTTAACTCAATTTGGTAGTAATATACATTGTTGGACAAAGTCATAGGCCCACTCTCAAAAATTCCATGAGTCACTCTGCTGTCAAAGAAATGTTTCAAAACCGGGTACAACCGTGTGTTTATCAGCTTACTGATCTGTAGAGCTTTCAGCAAAGAAAAATCAAGGCTTTCTAGTTTCCTAATATTTCAAAATTTTCAAGCAAAAAATATGTTCAGATATTTCAAGGCAGACGTGTGTAAGTGAGAGTCATTATACAATAATGTTGAATTTAGATTTATTTAGAGAATTTGTGTTTTTGATTTTGTGCCAGAGAGGTTTTTATGGTGAACCTTTATTGCCTAACGTTTCGACAAATATCGTCTTCTTCGGAGGCCTGAAAGGGATTGCAGTTTTGTATTCGTCAGTCTATACGACCAAACGTCTCTTCTAACTTGCGGCGTTTAGACCTTGTCTAGGCTCAACGTACTGGAAAACAATCTGAAGCGGAGTCACCAATCTTCAGTACACCGTGGAGTTGGTAGTCCGCACGACTGTGACAGACATCACTGAGGGGTGCTCAGTGAGTCAAAGCTATATATACAGTCTGCGGTAATAGATGACATAATGATATGAAGGGCAGGAGGTCACTGGTCATCGTCAAGCATTCATTTTTATTATTCATCCCCGGATTTCCGGCGGATATTCATGCTGCCTCTAATGTCTTTTTTGCCGAAATTTCAGTCTCATACGCTAATATCGTAAATTTTACATTGAAATCGTCACCTTTATGTGCCTCGACTCTATGTTTTCCTAATGGTGATGACATTGTACCCCGCTTTTTGCTGGCCAGATGTTCCTTCAATCTAACACTTAGTGTCCTTCCGGTTTCTCCTATATAAGTTGTTCCACAACTTAAGCACTCTAACTGGTAAACAATACCCTGCTTTGCACAATCACCTAACTTCCCGTATGGGCAGACGATGCAGTTTTCAGATATACAGTCTGTATTCATACAATCTAATTCTGATCAACCGCTTTCTGATAGTATTGCTAGGAATGTTGACCAGCATTACTTCGTTCTGTAACTGTGCTCGTGCTATGCATCCTTTAATGGCCTCACTAAATTTGTCGGATATAAAAGGCATGCAAAGGAAAATTTTGTTGTCGTTGCTCCGCCTCGATTCGTTTACGTATCTAGATGGTCTTTGCCTTGATTGCGTTATGTATCCATTGCTGCGAGCAATTTTGCGTGTTAGTTGTAGTAACTCTAATCGTTTGCTCTC